CGCGAGGAAAATAAATGTAATCGTTAAGAATTATCTAAATTCCAATTCAAATTATATCACAATTTCTTTTCGAATCCTTCCCTTTTCCCCCTTCATTTCTCTTATCCGCTCTCGGTCCGTCCGCGATAAAGAGATTCAGTTCTCTGATCGAAAAAGGACCACTCGTCGTACGTCGGTACACGCGTAAAGCGATCCTTCTGGTCGCTGACTCGTAACTCGACCTGCTAGTACGATCGAGGCTTTACGTCGTGTTGCGTTCTCTACCAGACGTAACAATGACAATGCACCGGCTCACACGCCCGTTATTGCGATGGCCAAAATGAGTGAAAGTTCGAATTGCTTTCTCACGCACCCTATTCACCAGATTTAGCTCCCTCAGATTATTATCTATTTCCAAACTTGAAAAAATGGCTTGGTGGTAAAAGATTTGCTAACAATGAAGAGGTGGAGTCTGCGGTTGATAGCTATTTTGAGGAACTCGATGGTTCTCACTATAAACATGGTATCGAAGCTATTGAACATCGCTGAGAAAAGTGTATCGACCTAAAAGGGGAACTATGTTGAGAAATAAAGATATATTTTTTCAAAATTTTTGTGTTTTCTTTGTTAGCCCGGGTACTTCTGGGACTACCCTCGTACACCGCCATCCGTGGCCTTGGAGGAGTTAGAGAGAAGAGAGAAGGGCGAGCCGGCCATCAGCCGCCCCATGGAGACCAACAAGGTCTTGCAGGAGGGAGAGAGAAATGTGGGGGTCTTCGCAAAGTCCTCGCTGAGGGCAAGGTCAACCTCCTTCGCAGGACCTCTCTGCGCGAAGACACGCTAGGAGGGGAAAGACAGATCGCGGTCGAGATCGCGATCGCGCAACAACTGCGCGGAGAAGAAGGAAGGCGAGACTGGCGTAACCACCAGGGCCAGGTCCCGAGAAGGACTGCGGGCCAGAACGCGATTGCGCTCTCCAGCCCGGTCATTGTCAACCGACTAGGCAAGTCTATCAGCCCCGTTGGATCCCGCTTCGGTGGACCTAACGAGGGATGAGGAATTTTTGATGGGCGGGGAGGAGGAAAAGAGGATCCTTGGTAGGTCCGAGGGTGAAGAGAGGGAGGACGGGCCCTTTAGGACGTGTCCTCGATCCTCACGGCCTGTCACCTGGCCATGGCCAGGAGGACTGAAAATATCGGCGGCTCTAGGGCTGACGAAGAGATACGGAGAGAGCAAGCGGCGACGGCGGCTGAGGTGGGTCGTTTGAGAAATGTGAACTACCTGCTGAGGTGCGAAGTCGACCGCCTGTGCCAGAAGATGTGGCGGGAGACGGCTGTACCGTTGTCTATGCAGACGATACGTTGGTGTTGGCCGGGGGCAGAGGCTGGCGCGACGTCTTGGTTTTGGGGCGTCTGGCGATGGACCAGGTTGTGTGTTCCCTTAAAAGGATGGGCCTCAAGGTGCCCCCCCCCCCAAAGACTGAAATCATGTTCATACATGATAGACCAAAGGGATGCACCAAGGGCCCGGGTCTGGATCGACAACGTCTCAGTGAGGACGAGTCCCACGATCAAGTATCTGGAACTTGTCTTGAATGGCATATGAGGGTTTTAGAAGCACTTTGAACTTCTGGCCCCCAAGTTGGGCAGGGTGTCTTGGACAACCACCTGCCCAACCTCGGCAGCCCAAAGAGGAAGGCAAGGCGGCTGTATGCCGGCGTCGTCCACTCCGTGGCCCTTTACGGGGCTCCAGTCTCGTCAGCGAGATGGCGAAAAAACAGCGAATAATTTATCTGGTCCACCGTGCGCAGCGGTGGATCGCCGTCCGCCTCGCCAAAGCCTATCGGACGACATCGCATATAGCCGCCATGGTCCTGGCCGGTCTCTCCCCGTTGGAGCTCCTTGCGCTTATGCACGCCGAGAACTATCGAACGTGTCAAGAAGCTCTTCCGTGGGGGGCGACCGAGAATATCTGGCCAGGACCATAGGTATAGCAAAGCGGCAGGCCCGTCAACGCCTTCTCCTCAGGTAGCAAATCCACCTGGAGGGAGCGACAGGCCACTCGGGATGTAGGGCCATCCGGCCCTGTCTACAGGAATGGGTAGACAGGGCCCGCGGAGAGTTGTCTTTCCGGACAACGCATGTACTCACCGGACATGATTGTATCGGTGAGTACCTGCATAGGATAGGAAGGGAACACACTTCCCGCTGCCATCACTGAAGTGCCGAGATGGACTCGGCGCAACATACCCTGGAGCGCTATTTCTCTTAGGTCGTGGAGCGACGGGTTCTAGTCGGGATGGTGGGGGTGGACCTCTCTCCCCCGGCCCTCCTTCTGCAACACTGTAACGTCGAAGGAGAAGACAGAGCGCGAGAGGCGGGGCGAGGCAACCCCACGAGATGGGGAGATGCGCCCAAAGAGAAGATAGTGGGCGCCTCTCCCAGCCGCGCACCTACGCAGCTTAGAAGGGCGGTGCACTCGCAGGCGGGGAGAGGACGACACACCAGACGTACTCTCCCCCGGTGTATCTGCGGGTAGATCGAGCCCCCAACCGGGCCTAGCCGGTGACAACAGCCAGCGAAGGGCTCGAGGGAATATCACTTCGAGGCGCCCTGGGGAGGAGCGGGCCGCGCTCAGTCGGCATGCAACCTCCCCCCGTCACGAGGAGCATGACGAGGCGCCTCCAGGAGGGGAGAGGGGCGGCCCTACTGCACGCTCGGGGGTTGCTGACTCCCTTCCCAGAGTACGGCGCGTCCTGATCGTAAAGAGGGAGGGGCACAAGGCCCACTCCCCCCATAAGACTTCGGTCAGGACCGTGGGGTGAGCCGGGTGCAGACTAAAATCGGTTGCTAAAACGTATGTTTACATAATCGTGGTTCTTATGTGCCGAATCAACGCACGTCAGGTTCGGGAAGCGCGTCCGCCGAGGAACGAATCGAGCCGAGATCACGCAGTTGACACGTGATTGATCCGAACGATCGCAACGACTTGAAGTTGCTAAATATTTTGGAAAACTTCACAGCTCGCTATTGAAAACTTCGAGAGTCCTCCAGAAAATTATTGAACGCGATATCAATAATAAACGCATTGTTCCTCTCTTTCTCTCCTTTCTTTTTCGATCCTAAATACATTACAATTGTTTACAATATATATATGTATATATATATATATATATATTTTTTTTTTTGGTTGCATTCCAAAACGTTCTTTTTAAGGAAAATTTTACTTAATACCTATAGTTCACCTATAGTTACAGTTACATATACTATAGAGTATCGAGTAAAATTTCCTCAAAAAAGATGTTTCGGAACGCAACCTAAATATATATAACAAACGCATAACAAATTATTTCTAATGTATAATTAAGAAACTTAACGTATAATTAAGAAACAAAAATACTGAACATAAAATACTGAACATCTGGAATCATTTTCATTAAAAAACTTCTAAGAATTACATGCTTAAATAATTGCAGTCAAGAAATTACAATAGCCGGGTTTGTACGGAAGCAGTCCAATTTTCCTTAAAAAGAACGTTTTGGAATGCAACCAAAAAAAAAAAAAAAATATATATATATATATTGTAAACAATTGTAATGTATTTAGGATCGAAAAAGAAAGGAGAGAAAGAGACGGACAATGCGTTTATTATTGATATCGCGTTCGATAATTTTCTGGAGGACTCTCGAAGCTTTCAATAGCGAGCTGTGAGAGTCTTCCAAAATATTTAGCAACTTCAAGTCGTTGCGATCGTTCGGATCAATCACGTGTCAACTGCGTGATCTCGGCTCGATTTGTTCCTCGGCGGACGCGCTTCCCGAACCTAACGTGCGTTGATTCGGCACATAAGAACCACGATTATGCAAACATACAACAAAAACAAAAAAGTTTACAAAATTTTTTTAACCACATTGTTTATAAGGCTACAAAGAACACATTTACTCAATATATCCCCCGCTTGCTTGAATTATGGCCTCCATTCTCGGTCTGAAGCGTTTGCAGGCGCGCTTTAATGTGTCAATGTCCATATCGATGAATGCCGCTTTAATAGCGGCTCTCAATGATGCAACGTTTGGATGTCTGGACTTGTTCGTGACCCTTTCAACTACGCTCCATACATAGAAGTCCAAAGGATTCAAATCTGGGTTGTTGGGAGGCCAGAATTCTTTCGACCAAAACATGTCGACGTTGTCCAACAACCAATTTTGCACCAAATGACTTGTGTGGGCTAGCGCACCGTCCTGCTGGAAAACATACGGTTTTCCAGACGACATAATTTCCATCCACGGCTTTACTACATTTGTCAGAACATGCAAATAAACTTCTTTTGTGACATTTTCCCCTTTGTTAAAAAAATGTGGTAGCATGGCATCACCCTCACTGGATACAACACCTAGCACGTGACCATTCGCCGGAAATTCTTCTCCGACTCATTGTACTTTGCGATGACATCATACACAGTCGATCTCGGGTACCCAAAGAACCGAATGATTTCTGTTGTTGAGCGCCCAGCGCGAACACTTTCGATAATCGAGGCTCTTCAGTTATACTCCGCACTTAGTTTCAACATTGCGACTTCGAGGTTATGATGGTTTAGTACATACGTCAAGCTATTTGAACGCTAATCGCGATACCTACCAATGGTATAGAACGGCGAGAATTTCAAATTGAATTTTGTCCGGATTTTGACGCCGCACCTTGTATATTCCGCGTGCTTAACTCGTGCTTCGAGATCACATTCGTCGATTTTGTAAACGTTTGTTGTTAATTAAGGAAGTAAAGAAAATTGACTAAAACCCACGATATCTCGTCTGCGTTCTTATTACGCGTTCATTTTCTAATCTGGAAGAGAAGTTGGCTCCTCTTGTCGTCAGCAAAAATCACGGCGCTATAATTACGTGCGTGAAGTGTGTGGCTTCACTCCCGCAAATTCACGAATTAAACGTCGAGGTAAGGAGTCACATACATAAAAAGTGGTCCTTCGAGCCGGATTCAAGATGTGAGCCCGTCTCAACGAACATTATGAGCGAGAACGTATCCAAGCAGATGCAGCTGCGCCGATTAATCCTGAGAGCTCTCGATAATTTCAAAAGAATCAGAAAGAGCATTCTGACTCCAGCGAAAGTTCGCTCACGGATATCTATGCTGAAAGATACATGGAGTCGATTCCTTGACGGTTATGTGATACTCTGCAAGGTAATTTCTGAGACGTCGCAACCATCACTCGACTACTTCCAAGACGAGGTGTTTGAAACTACGGAAGACGCCTTCCAGACAACATTGAACTTCATGGCGGAAAATCTCGAAGAATTGGAACCGCCCGTAAGTCCGAACTCTTCACTCGAACACACGTTGTCCCGCGCTTTTAAGTCCGCGTTATCCATCAATCATTTACCTCCCATCAGCTTGCCACCGTTTGAACAATGGAAGTCATTTCGAAATCGCTTTACCGCACTCATTATCGAAAATCGCGATCTCAGCAATGTAAAGCGGATGCATTTCCTAACTTCGTGTGTCACCGGTCGGGCTTGCGACTGCATTCGAGATTTACCAGTGACCGCCGATAATTTCGAACCCGCATGGTTAATGTTAACCACTCGGTTTGAGAATAAACGACGAATTCTCAATGGACATTTCACGTCGTTGCTCAATTTGCCGGTAATCGCTCGAGAGTCGGCTGCAGAGTTAGCTTCTCTTTGCGATAAAGTGAAAGTCGCCGTCGCTCCTATAAACAATGTGAATCGAAGCTCCGAACAACTTTGGGACGACATTCTCGTGCACATTATCGTCGGTAAATTAGATCCGATAACGCGCAAAACATGGACTCTCCAAACAGGGGAAGACAACGATCTACCGTCGTACGGTGATCTCAGTCGATTTATTTCAAGAGCTCGCGTTCGAGCTCTCGAGGACTTTGCAACAGATTCTCCGAGCAAAATTATTTCCCGGGCCAGCGTCGCGACCGCATCTACTGTCATTCAATGTCCTTTATGTAAAGAAAACCATCTGTTCAGCGCATATCCATTGTTCATCAGGCGAAATATAAATCAACGCCGAGAATTAGTGTCGCGGCACCGCCAGTGTTTTAATTGTCTAAGCGATAAACACTCGATCAAAGATTGCAAAAGCAAGTATTCGTGTCGCATATGTCAACGCAAGCACCATACACTTTTACACATGGAAGCGAGCGCGAGCAAAAAACCTCGATCCCCGGATTCGACCTCAGGCTCGTCGAGCATGATCGAGTCCATTCCGTCGTCATCACAAGCCGCCCCTCCGCACCTTGCCGCAAACTCGCTTCTCGCGTCAACATGCGTCCATTCTAATACGCAGGTGCTACTGGCTATTGCGTGGGTAACAGTTAGCGTCGAATCCGGTCGCTCCGTTACTGTCAGAGCCTTGCTCGATCAGGGCTCTGAAATTACATTTATTTCGGAGAGTTTAGCTCAACTCCTCCGAGTTAAACGAGTGCGTATGCCCGTTACCGTGTCCGCCGTCGGCTGCGTTACCGCCGGTACCTTTTGGCAAGCTGCGAACATTTTCGTTTCTCCTCGCAATTCGCTAAGTCCAGTAATCTCTACCGTCGCTTCTATACTCCCCAGTCTCACGTCATACGCGCCAAAACGAATAGCGGATATTTCGTCGTGTTCGCATCTCACTGACTTGCAGTGGGCCGATTCGGATCCCATGAGCATTGCGCCAATTAGTCTCATTCTCGGTGCTGATCTGTACAGCAGTATCATTTTGGAAGGGTTACGTAAGGGCGACCCTCGACAACCGGTCGCGCAAAATACCATTTTTGGCTGAGTTCTATCAGGCCCGCTCGAGAATTATTCTCACGAGTCGGCGCGTAAATCAAGAGATGTTCGTTCCGCAGAGCACGTCTCTGTGAATCATTGTCTCACGCTCCCTTCTCTTGAGTCCGAAATTCAAAAATTTTGAACAGTCGTGGAACCGCCGCATCTCCCTACTTACTCAATTGAAAACGATCAATGCGAAAAGCATTTCAGTACGACATTCTCGTACAGTCGATGGCCGATAAATCGTGCGGCTGCCCTTCAAACATGGTCCTCCTATCGGGGAATCTCGCGGTCGCGCAGAAAAATTATTAAATTCTACGTAGCATTGGCTAAAAAGGCACCCCGCGCAAGCCTCAGAATACAAACTCTTTCTCTCCAAATACGAACAACTAGGCCATATGCGTAAATCGCCAGATGCGTGGTCATTACAGTCTTAGTGCGTGTATACAGGGTCATCGAAAAGTATCGGATCCCCTAATATCTTTAATTAGAATTAAATTTTGAAGAAAATGTCCAATAGTAAAGTTGTATGGTTTCAAGCGGGAAATAAGATGATGTCCTTGACTTTGACCTTGACCATGTCCTTCAAGGTTATTTCAAGGTCAACCTTATTTTTTTAAATGGAACCCCCTACATTTTATTGCATATTCTTATAACTTATCTCGAGAGCTTTCCAAAACGCTAAAATAAAACATTTTTTATTAAGTACTTTTTGAATTATAAAAGTTTGAAGTTAACAATTTTTTGACACAAAATGTAAAATATCTTGTAAAATATTATTTAGTTTTCAGTAATTATAACCTTAATTTTTTTGTGCGCGGAATAATGAGACCAATTAATTGGTTTAAAGAAAATACATTAATCGAAAAGTGTTGGATCCCCCTAATATTTTGAGTAAGAATGCATTTTGGAAAAATGTCCAATAGCAAAGTTGTACGGCTTCAAGCGGTGATGCTAGTAGGCTACAGCGGAATACTGCCCGAAAGTGATCGCGAGAAGCTGCTCGAATGCGTGATGTCCGAAGGCGTTAGTGGGAATCTGCCCGAAAGCGATGGCGGGGCCGATCTTTATTCTCTCACTCTCGCAGGCACCAATGTACGAGCTCTTGAGCAAACAATACGGATCACTGATTTTAATCTTTGATACAGTGCTGTCTTCTTCTTAGCGACTTAACAAATACAAAGTGGCATGGCTAAACAATTAGCCACGCCACTTAACAAATTGTTAACTTCAAACCTTTATAACTCAAAAAGTACTTAATGAAAAAATGTATTATTCTAGCGTTTTGGAAAGCTCTCGAGATAAGTTATAAGAATATGCAATAAAATGTAGGAGGTTCCATTTAAAAAAATAAGGTTGACCTTGAAATGACCTTGAAGGACATGGTCAAGGTTAAAGTCAAAGTCATCATCTTACTCTCCGCTTGAAACCGTACAACTTTGTTATTGGACATTTTCTCCAAAATGCATTCTAACTGAAGATATTAGAGGGATCCGATACTTTTCGATGACCCTGTATATAATTTTATATCTTACCAGTAGTATATGTACAACTTCCGTGAGACAGGACGTGGTCTATTTTTCGGTGGTGGGGATAAAAGCTGGCGCCAGCGTATCAGGGGTGGGGAAAGGAGGTCCAGGGGGTTAGATTGGAATGAGTCGAGAGTGGGGAGGGTCCCGAAATGGAATGATGGAAGAATTTTGCAGGTTTGGTGCAAGAGGGTAATATGCGAAATAAAAAATTATTAATATTGGAAGTTGGGGCGGACGGTGTGTCGCCCTCGCTGTAAATCGAGTGGGGTTATTCAGGGTGATTTATGTATATTATTTTATTTCTTCTTATTGCATCGTTTCTTACAGCGTATAAACTTCGTCTCTTGCGGCATGAGCGTTGTCTGGAAGTTCCGAGTCTCGACTGATGAGTGAGTCGAGAAGGAGTAGGTGACGATGGAGAAACTAGGGGTAGGGGGTAGTCGTCGGTTGCTGCCATATAAGGGCGAGGGCAATTTATGCTATTGGCTCGTTTACTGGTCAGCTATGGATATTCACTGGGATTGGTTTTTATCTGAGGGTCTCTCTCCGCCTCGTCGCCTACGTCGAGAATATGTAAATGCTAAGTATGACCTGGAAATTTAGGCGAAAAGGGAGCTACTGAACGTTAGGCGAAGGTGGGGAGCCAGCGGGAGAGGGTAGTTGTCATATGTTTCAGCGTGAGGAGTAAGGAAGATCTATTGGTTCGTTTAGTGGTCAGCTATGGTTATTCGCGGGGATTGGTTCTTTCCACAGCGCTCCCCGCATCGTCGCTTACGTCGAGAAGAATTGAGGGAGAGACGTTACCGGAAAATTATGATGAAAAGATGTTTCCTGAAAATTAGAAGAGCGAGAAGAGAGAGAGAGAGAGAGAGAGACGAGAGCAGGTCTGGACAGCTATAGGTATGCGGTGTTCGGTCTCGGTTTTCGAAGAAAGAAATATTTTTAAAAGAAAATGTCTATCGTTTATTTATACATATAATCATGAATACATTTCTACTTATT